AAAATTATTTTTTAGCCAACCTAACACTAGAAGGAGATACCTTAGTAAAGCAATTACTACTAGTAATGAAATTGAGAAGATACTCAGCACGATCGAACATGGATGCTGACGAGTCGTAGATAGCTAATTTCTTTGCATCAATCTCGTTAATATCCTGCAATATACAGTACTTGAATACATTAGTGCCCAAGCTGACTGGATACCTTCAGAATGTAATTCGGGTCGGCTTTTGGAATAACAATGTGCGTGGTGGGAATAATTGCCATGTCATTTCTATAGTCTGGCATTTTATCGAAACCATACTTTGAAGCGTACCTTGGCGACATGCTTGGTTCTGAACTCTAACTTCAGATAAGCGGACATTAAACACACATTTATTTGCAAACCAAATGTTTGAAAGCTAATCATAATTACCTCCAATCAGAGCTACATTAGATCCATGCGTCACTTCCATGATTTTGCTGAATAAAGTGTTTCCTACGCCATATTTTCGCCACTCTTCGCGAACATAGTATGCTCCCAACTGTTTGAAAGGTCAGTACAATATAAAAGATGAACTTCGACTACTGAGCAGATACCCACTACGTAGACTATATCCTCGGCTTTTCCTGAAGCCGGCGGTTCGGACATCAGCATAACACAACCAATAGCTTGTTTGTTTTCTGAAGGTGAACAAAACAATTCAAAATTTTTCTTTTTGCTGTTATAAAGATTTCTCAAGCAAACCCGACCTTTTACAACTGCAACGTATAACCAAAACTTTCCACAAAACGATTTTTTCCACGTATCGAGGTCCTCATGCGTAAAGGGCCATTCAACTTCCTTGGCCATCTGAAATATTAAGCTTTGCAGCATCACAATTTCACTTCTTTCTAGTTGACTTTTACGAAAATTACAATGATTAAATGCGGTTTAAGACCTTCCATCAAAATAAAAATTGCAGGCCGAAAGTAACGTGGCAGAACTTTTATGTATCGAACTCAGAGAAAAACTCAGAGATCTTCTGTTTTTACCCCCAAATTACCACCAAACAATAAAATCAACCTATAAATACACATAGACTTACTTACCCACTCCACTATTTCATGCCAGTGATTGTCATCCGGATTCGTAACAATCTCCACATTTTCAAGTGATTTTTCCATTCTGGTTAGTGCGTGAAGAACTGTGCTGATTTGGTGGGTCTGAGCAGCAAGTGCTTGGCTACTAGCGTTTCTGTGTTTTGATACTATCTGTAAAAAGCAAACACGTGCATATTGCCATATCAGTCAATTGGCCCTCTCTCGACCAAAAACATTATCAGTGGAGGACAGGCGAAGGGGCGTAAGCGTTGAGCTTTTGATATGTATACACTGGTGTCCTTGGTGTTAACCAGTGCGATGAGTGGATATGATAAAGCTAAAGTGAGGACTCGTTTATGTGACTTTTTGAGTGACTCGTTTTATTAATTTGAGTAAAAATACCAATAGAAAGTCCAGTCTTATACTTTTATGTTGAAATCAAGAGTAGTAGTATTAAATTGAAACTATACTTACTTGCTTAGATACTTAGATGGCCCGTCCTCACGTGACGTGCGGG